AGGGCAGGGCCTCTGTATACCCCATTTCTCCTGTGCCCTCTGGTGCTGCCAGGTTCGTCAGTATGGGGCACTGGATGCCGGCTTCCTCTTGCCTTCCCATCTGCCTGCCTGCCTGCCTGGAGTGGCTTGTGAAACTTCTTGCCCTGGCATCAGGAGAATCATTTCTGGGGCCTCACCAGTCAGTGGCACCCCAGGAGTCTGAGTTTTAGCTCCTAGGGCCCTTCCTTCAGTCTTCTGCATTTCAGCAATCCCACCCTTCCCCCTAACTTCTGGCAGTCGCTATCTGGGAAACTGAGTGCAGTGGTTCTCATGCTTTGCTGGTCACCTAGAGGGACTGAGCCAACACAGGTTGCTGGGCCCCACCCCAAGGGGTTCTGGGTAGCAGGTCTTGGCTTGGGTCTGAGACTGTGCATACCCCTAACAGATTCACAGATGACACCAATGCTGCTGGTCTTGGTACCATCCTTAGAGAACCACAGCCTTAGTGCATGCTTTCTGCCTCTCCAGCTACCTAGTTAACAACTCATACCTAGTAGCAATTCTTCATAGTTCTCTGATCAGACAGAGCTGTGGTTTCTGCCTCCAGACTCACTGAGTGGTCAGGGCTGTGGGTTGTCCATTCACATTCCAGAATGGAAATGCAAACAAGTCCTTCACGGTCTTCCCAATGAATGTTCTCATTATTGAATTCCTCAGAAATTCTACTTTCCCCACCCCCATGCCAGCCTGCAAGGAACACTGCTGTAATGTCAGGGCTGTTGCTCTGAGCCAGAAAACTGGCCCCTTTCCCTCAGGTCTGGAGCCAGCTCAGCACCCTGGGTACTGCTTCAAAAGGAAYTCTTCAGGGACAAAAGACTTCACTTGCTCTGAGTGGGGTTGAGGGTTGGGTCAAAAGCCTTGTGGCATCCCTTCAAGGGTCACAGGGTGTGGGTGGAGAGTCCTAAGCTCCTGAGCTAAGTTGGTGACTGGTTTCACCATCTAGTGACCAAAAGGGTGGGTCTAGATGGGCACCAAGGCCCCTTACACCTTGCCCTGGTTGTGTTTAGGCTACAAAATCTGCTCATCCCCCTGTGTCTGGTTTCAGTAGCCTCTGCCCCTTTCTGTTACTGTGAACCCCAGGCCTGGGGGAGTGACAGGAGGGAAGGCAAACAGAAGAACACTGAGGCAGGTTCTCCGTTTCCTTCTTACTGGAAAATCCATGCCATGGAAGGAGACCTGACTTACAGTCTTGAGCTGTCCTTATCTCCTCTTTTTCTAGTCATCCTGCCCCACATAGGCAGTGCCACCTACAGAACTCGCAACACCATGTCCTTGTTGGCGGCTAACAACTTGCTAGCTGGCCTGAGAGGGGAGCCAATGCCCAGTGAACTCAAGCTATAGCCAGACAAGAGACTTTACGACCGAAGCCACAGTGCCCTGTGGTTCTACTGGACACACCCGGCTGGATTTGGACCCACAGGCAAGAGCCACGGGGAAGTCTGCTCTGTACTGATCCTGCCAGGGCAGACTGGTGCTGCCAGTTGTGCTTGCCTCTTGTGCTTTGATACACCTGAGCCAAAAGCATGTAATTCTATTATTAAATAATTTTCTGAGAGACTGTCTCAGCCTGTGACTGGCAGAAGCTAACAAAAGGACAATCTGCTTACCTTTGCTAATTCGGGGCATCTAATGAGCTACCTGTTTCCCACCCCAGCCCTCACCTGGGYATTTTAATGTTTAGATCCTGCCTTAATTTCTTCCCTCATCCCTCACCAAGCACAGCCCAGTTAACCATGGCACCTGAACCTGACACCTAGATCATCAGAGAAATTAAAGAGAACATATGGCAAAGGAGAGTTAATTGGAAGAAAGGATTGGGCAGGTCACCACTCACTTCTTTTCTTGGAGAGAGTAATTGGAGGCTGGTGAGTTTCCTAATTTCAAAATTTGTTTCTGCATCAACAATTTGCTTCTTTTGTTCATCTTGTGCTTTACCCCCCAGGTAGTTAGGATTTGTTGTTTTGGTATTGGGGATGAACCCAGGGGTGCTCTATCATTAAGCAACATCCCAGGCTCTTTTAATTTTGAGACAGGGATTTACTAAATTGCCTAGGTTGGCCCTGAACTTGAGAGATCCTTCTGCCTTAGCCTCCTGAATTGCAGGTGTGTGCAATGGGAGCCTGGCTAGATGTTCTTTTTTTTGGGGGGGGAGGGGGGCGGGGGTACCAGGGGCTTGAACCAATTGAGCCACATCTCCAGACTCTTTTGTTTTAGTTTGAGACAGGGTCTTGCTAAGTTGCTTAGGACTTCACTAAATTGCTGAGACTGGCTTTGAACTTGTGATCCTCCTGCCTCAGCCTTCCAAATTGCTGGGGTTACAGGCCTGCACTACTGTGCCTGGCTAGATGTGCTTTTTAATCAACCTTTACTCACTGTTTCCTAAGGCCAGGCCACTAGGGCTGTTGCCAAAGTCCTGCTTTGTGCTGAATCAGCTTCTAGCTCTTCCCCAGCCAAGCCATGCTGGCAAATGGAGATTTCAACTTGAGAGGCAGGTACAGAACAAAGTCCATGGTTGAGCTGGTCCTCGAGAATAAGTGGGTGGACTGAGAATGAAAGCTCATCCAAGTCCACAGCTCAAAGACATGAAGGGCTGGAGAAAGCAGAAGGAATAATTTGAGTGGAATGACCCAATTACTGTTATTGATTGACAATATTATTATATAGAGGGCTCAGTTTTAAAAAGTACTAGTCAAAGCAGGGCTAACAGAGAAATAACTACCACTTCCCTATTTTGTTTCAACCTTAACAACTTAAGCAAGGAAAAAGAATACATAATTACAGACATAAATATGACAAATTTTTTATTTCAAAATCTCAATTTTTGACCAGCATAGCACCACTGACATGGGTGCCCTGATGAACTTAATGATGTGATCACCAGAAGAGATTCTACATGATTATKCCAGGCTGTGATTAAGGCTAACCAATCAAAACTCAGGTCCCCAACACCAGATAATCCAGGTACAAACTCCAGATCATAGGAACCCRGGGACTGGTTTTCAGGGAACGTTAGGATTATTTTTTAAGTGCTACAGCATGTCGAGGGACACTGGCCTGCAAGCTCGCTTCTCACATGTAGAAACTAAGAGGTAGATGAGATTCCAGGTTCCATCCAGCAGTGGAGAGGCAAGGCTCCAGGAGTGTCAGAGGCAGGCCCCAAAGCAAAGTACACTTATGCCTGAGCAGGGACAAGAGGACAGGCTCCTGGCAGCACCTCCTCAAAATGGAAGGCAAGGAGGGCTGCACTGTTCTGCCAGTGTCACTGGCTTCTTGCCCTAGGCCCAGGCAGGGCCTCCTGTTCTCCATGCTGACCCATCTGACTCCTCACAGGATGTGGGTCCTATGTCACATGGTGGTGGTAGCTGTAGAACCCCTTACAACTTGTTGGATAAGGACTGCTGACAATGAGCCACATGTAGAACTGGATTTCACAGGTGACCCCATATCCTCCAATGGTGTCTTTCCCACGTCTGCTCAAAAGGAAAAGTCACAGGTTTCCCTTTGAGCTTTCCTCTCAGGGAATCAGTTCCTAAGAGATGCCAAGCCCTCTGTGAACATTATGGGCTTATCCACAGATTTATAACTGCACACACTATATTATTAAGAGGAGAAGACACGTTCAGTTTTGTTTTAGGTGACACATAAATACTTAGTTTTCTAAACATAAGAACTGAATAAATTCTCTGAATTATGCACAAAAATGGTTTAGTATCTCTGAGAAAGCCATATTAAAAAAATAAAATGAACTCATGTTCATGCATGAACTGAACTGAGTTCTACAGAGATGCATGAACCTGTGCTGTTTCCCCTGGTTTATGTGAGCCAGTATGTGGCCTGATACAGGTGCCACCAACAGCCCCCGATGGCATGGTGTCAGAGGACAGCAAGGTGAAGCTGGGCAAGTGAGACAAGAAGGCCCAGAAAAGCCCTGGGCATTGACCCAAATGGGCAAGTGAGACAAGAAGGCCCAGAAAGGCCCTGGGCAGTGACCCAAATGTTTCTCCCAACAGTTCTGAATGCTCCTGGTGACTTCTGTGTTATGGACTGCCTTACTCTCATACAGAGCATGGAAAATACTAGTCCATGAACACTACCACATTTGGATTTCAAACTACACTCAGTATTCAGTTGGGAGAACAAACTAAAAGTTTAGGGTCTATACTTTTAAAGTATGGTATATAACAATAATAAAACCCATGGAGGGGTGGCATTATTTTTGGTTAGTTTATAACTGAAAACAGGAATCTAGGCCTGGGAGGGATGCCATAGTGGGTATAGGAAGAAAGGAAGCAGAGAACAGGCTTGTCCGAGGGTGGGATGCGTCAGGCTGGACTGGCCTTTGAGGTCTGGATGGAGCAAAAGGTAAATGCACCATAAAAACCCCACAAAACATGACTCCACATCATCAAAACAAAGACAAACACTAGCTCTTTCCTGATTTTCAAACATGAACTGTGACATCAGTAATACGAGTTGGTTAAAATACTGCTAAAACTGCACACACAGAAACAATATCTTACTTGTCACTCCATATAAGTACATACTCCGTTTACAACTTGGCCTTTAAAACCAGAAGCTTTTAAAACATCTATCCAACAGAGATGTATTCAAAAGTATATACACCTAGTCTAAGAGAATGCTTGCCCTGGGCCCAGTGTCAGCACCAAAGTGCAGTATCTATGACTGCAAATCAGACAAAAATAAAAAATACAGTACTTTCTGAGGCCTAGGACTAGCTCAAGATACACTTTAAAGCATTTGTGGCAAACAGGCCTGTCTTCAAGGGCCTTCCTTTCAGACAGGCACAAAGTTGCCACTGGTTACACGTAAGTGTACTTTGCATCACTGTACAGGGATACAATATTCCCATTACATATAGGATATGTAATTAAATGCTTCACAGAGCTTTACAAAAATTGCTAAAAAAATTTTTTGCACTTCAATTTTTAATTTTTAAGTGTGCCACTTTTAACATCAATTACAAACTACTTTATGACTATGTCACTCAACCCTAAGGAAGAACTTGGTTCCAGGGATCACATCCCTCTCCCCAGATGCGCATTTCACTCAGAAATGCTGCAGCACAAGTGCTACATGAACAGTTGTCCACTTACTAGTCATTGAAAATTGCAAGAGCCACTGGGCAGCGGAAGCCTCAAACCCAATGGCATTAACCACCCACCAAAACCATTTTAGTTTTAGTCCCGCAACTAGCTGGCACTGTCTCCTGAGGACAAATAGTCAGAGCAAAGTGCTAGGAAGATTGCTGCTCTGCCAGCGCAGGCAGGTAGTCTTGGAATGTTTATACAGGTGGCTGGACTGACTAAACCTCTTGCCACACTTCAGGCAGGCATACGGCTTTTCACCTGTGTGAACGCGGATGTGCTTCTTGCAATCTGTCAAAGTCAGAAAAGTTTTRCAGCAGATTTTGCAGGCATACTTTCGAGCTCCCTCTACAACCAAGACATTGTGTTCTGATAAGGCCTTCTTGCACTTTGACAGGACATCAGCAGATGCCCTGGTCAACTGTGGGGGGCCAGGCTGGGAGGGATGGCCATTTTCAAATGAGGATGTGGTCCCATTCATCATTAGCTGGGAACTGGCAGAGTTTTCCTGGATTTGTGAGCTCCTGACAGAAGTTACAACTGGCATTTTGGGAGCTATGCGGCGGTAGTATGGAAAGTTACTGGCTCCTCCTCGGGGGGAACCCATCATTACCCTGGAGAAGGAGGAGTGGAGGCCCAAACCAGACCTGGAAAAATCCATCCCAAACTGTTCTCCTTGGTAACCTGAAGTCTGCACACAGGGTAGGCCCATCACCTCCTGCATGGGCCTGACAAAGTGGGAGTCTGCAGGATCGCTGAATGGGTTCTCCACATGGGAGCCAGGGGCAGAGGAGGGCCCGCCTGCAGGCCCAGCCTCTGGACTTAACAAGTAAGGGGCCTCGCCCTCCAGCCTGCAGTCACTAGTGGTGTTTGGAATGTTATCATCATTGTTTTGATTCCCACTAAAGTTACTTCCTCTGCTCTTGTTGAGAAAATTTGAAATACTAAAAGTGGACTTATGTTCTAGGTTATTTGTAACTTCCAAAATGTGGATATCACCTACCCTGTCCGTGCTAGACTGGGGATCTGAAAAACTCCGATCGCTACTTTCAGGGCTGAGGTCTATCTTCTCTGCACTAACAACAACTCCTTCCACTTCTACRGACTCACTGCCTTCTGCTTGAGAGGTCACATCACTCACTTCATCCTGAGGCTCAGGTGAGCTCAGAGGCTCAGATTTTACCACCACTCTCATGTGCTCCTTCTCACCAAGGCCAACCTCAGGATTCTCACATTGGAAGCCACTTTTCTCAGTTGCAGCTTCCTGCTCAAAAGTAGTCTCAACCTGAGTTGCACGAGAGGCCATGGACAACTGTGCCATGTTACCAGCACTGTTGTCAGACTGGCTAGGCACCTGGGCATCTTCTTGAGCACCAAAAGTCTGRTCAAACATCATAGTACTATCTTCCTGGTTGTCATTCATTCCATCAGCTTTAGGATTATCCACAATTTTCAGGGAATCTGGTGAAAAGAACTCCTCCCGAGAATGAACCCCTGAAGGCCCATTCTCGGCTGTGACATCTGAAATGGTAGACTCATCCATGGAGGGGCGGAGGCGCTGTCTGGCCCGCTCCTCTGCAGACTGCTTGCGCTTATGAAGGCGTCTCATGGGGAAGGGTGTCCGCTGGTCAAGGTTACTGCGCATCGATGAGCTCATGGGGGCTGGCTGTTCCTCGCCACTCTGGCTGGAATTGAGGGCTGAGCTCACGATGCTTAGTCCCAGCTGCTGCAGCATAAAAGAGCGCTGCATGCGGGCACTCTGCTCTTGAACGCGCTCACTGGGGGGAGACATGGGCAGYGTCCTTGTTGTTAGGTAATGTTTACATGCCTTAACAACAGAGTTCAAATGCAGGTGAGAGGCTGCCAATAAGACATCCATAACATTGCTCTCCCCCAGCATGAGGGTGGAGGTATACATCATGTCAATCAGCGCAGCAAAGGCCTCCGCTGTCACTACCTCGCTATCCAGCTGGATCATGTTCATGGTCTGATCTCCCTCTGCCACTGAGAACAGAGCTCGAAAATGTGTGCTGCATGCTGCCAGCACAGAGCGGTGGGCTTTAAAATGTCTATTCCCCACTACAATGACACAATCACACAGCTGGCCATGAAGTCTCTGGTAATTCAACTGCTGGAAGATCTGCTCAAAGTGACCAGGAAAATCCATGATCCTATAGGAAAAACAAAGAAAGAAAAGTGTTAAGACTTAGAAAAGCATAAGGCAAAGCCAAAACACAAAGGGTGAGACAAAAAGAAAGGTACAGATGGCTAAGCCTGTACCTGTTAAAACCTTGTGATGTCTCCAATGATGGGCACCCAAACTAAGAATTTGTCAGATAAGGAGCAGATGCCAATTTGTGTACACACGTGGGCTCCTTATAAGCTTCCCATAATTTCATATGACCCACTTAGAATACTAAAGGGTCTGAGTTAGAAAAGTCCAATGTGTGTGTGAAGGCATATTGACCTCACACAAGTCTGTCAGGATTCTACATTCTCTAGAGCAGCAAATGAATGCCAAGAAATTCCRGTCTTCACAACCTTAAATAAGCAAAAGGGCAAATCAAAATTAAACTAGAAGATTTCTGGTTCTAGATGGTAGTAAATTACACACATGCACTCCCCCCCCAACCCCATTCCTGAAACCCCATTAAAAAGACACTACACCCAGGCACGGTGGCACATGCCTGTAAACCCAGTGGCTTAGGAGGCTGAGGCAGGAGGATCACAAGTTCAAAGCCAGCTTCCACAACTTAGTGAGGCCCTAAGCAATTCAGTAAGTCCCTGTCTCTAAATAAAGTATAAAAAAGGGCTGGGGATATGATTGAACCCTGGGTTCAATCCCTAGTACAAAAAAAAAAAAAAAAAGATGCTATAATTTTTGGTTTTGTTGTTTCATCTTAAAGGTATAAACTCTAGGGGCTGAAGTTGTGGCTCAGTGGTAGAGCACTTGCCTAGCATGTGTGAAGCACTGGGTTCGAGCCTCAGCACCCACATAAAAATAAATGAATAAACCAAAGGTCCATCTACATCTAAAAAAAACAACATTTTTTTAAAAAGGTAGAGGGGGCGCTGGGATCGTGGCTCAGAGGTAGAGCACGCGCCTAGCATGTGTGAGGCACTAAGTTCGATTCTCAGTACCATATAAAGCAAAATAAAGACATTGTATCCACCTATAACTAAAAAAATAAAAAATAAATAAATAGATAAATAAAGGTATAAACCCTAGAAAAATCAGAAAGGGAGAAAAGACATCAATGACATTTTGGAAGCTGGGAAGCAAGTGAATGAATACAGTCTTTGCATACCCCAAATGCTCTTAAACTGGCAGTAGATAAAACAACCTGACATATATAAATCCCTCTCCCCAAAGGCTCAGAAACAAGTGGCTCAGGTGCCAGGAGAAGGAAAGTAAATGTGAGATGAAGAAGGAGGCGTGGCTGAAAGTCTACTCAATTTAAAAAAATCCCATGGGCATAGAAAAGATAAATCTTCAGAGACAGTAGATGACAGGATTAAGGAATGAATACAAATGGAAAGAGGGATTTGGGGGTAGGTATGACAGAATGTTCTAATTATGGTCACAGGTATACAACTAAAAATGTACTAAAATATGTATATTTGTTACAATAAGCAATTTTATGATATATACATTATAGCTCAAGAAAGCCCAATAAACCTATACATAAATTTAAAAAAACAAATGGGAAAGGAAAACAAGATAAACAATCTTGGTCCAAAGCCAGTTTTTCAGAGTCTACTTTGAACTACAGAGTTTGTACTAAACTCACTGTTCTGACTACTTAAAATATCACATATATCTCTATAGTTTTCCAATGCTGTGTTTAGAAGCATTAAATGTCAGGCAGGGGTTGTGGCTGTGGTAGAGCGCTGCTTGCCTAGCATGCATGAGGCACTGGGTTCGATCCTGGGCACCACATTAAAAAAATAATAGGGCTGGGGATGTGGCTCAAGCGGTAGCACGCTCGCCTGGCATGCGTGGGGCCCAGGTTCGATCCTCAGCACCACATACAAACAAAGATGTTGTGTCCGCCGAGAACTAAAAAATAAAATAAATAAATAAATAAATAAAATAATAATAATAATAAAATAAAGGTATTGTATCCATCTGAAACTAAAAAATTTAAAAAGAAGACATTAAATGTCTGTATGTTTTTATCTTCTGGACTCATTAGAAATAAGAACTTACTATTTTCATCTGAGAAACTACTACATCTCCTAGGAACTTTGTGACTGCTGGTTCGAAGTCCCCTACCCTTGACTTGGGATAATCTCTTATTATGTGGTTAAAATACCAGGCCAGTAACTCTCAAAAGGCATTCCTTGGTGCCTTCTGCCCACAGGCTCTTCAGCTGAAGAAGCCACAGAGTTAAAAGCTGTTTCACCCTCTCCAGAGAATCAATCTGTGGCTTCTGGGATGGGATTTGGCTGAACATGGCTAAGCCTCAGGACACAAATATGGAGACTAAATAGCTAATGCACCTAAGTTAATAGAAAATGATCGGATTCAGTTTCTTAAGGGAAACAGGCAACTCTAATATAAAGAATTACAAGTGCTATGATAGGGGAACAACAGGAGACAAAGAAGGGGCTCTTGCCTCTCGCAGTGGTGGCCTATTGGGGAAAGTAAGCATTCCAGTCTCCTGCAGGGCCTGGGGAATTGAACCTGTACTCAGGGCACTAAGTGACCACTGAGGCTGAATCAGCACTACACTGAAAGCTAAAGTTTTAAATTAAAGTTTGCATTCAAATGATGGGATACCCTCTGACCTCTTCAGCTAGAAGACTAAAAGCCAGACTCATACCTCCCAAGAAGTAGCCTGGAGATTCTTCTCTGGAGAACCTGATATTTGGAAGCCCCTCCAATACAACAATTGGGACTCCATCTAGTTTCCACATTATGAAGCCCATCTGTCCCTACTTGGCTTCCAACCATAGTCAGTGCTTCACTCTTAAACATGAACATTTAGGAGGAACATAAACTGGAAGAAAAAACAAAAGACAAAGCAGCAAACAAATGGGGACAGGGAAGCATTTGGAAGAAACAGAAGCAATGCAAGAAAAAGCAAAGAAGACTCAGTGGGGAAAACACCTATAATTAGCATCATCAGAGAGAAAGAACAGTACGTCCATGAAATAATGTACTTTTAAATTTTTTTAAAAGAAGAAATTAAAAATAGCAAAAGTTGTGTGTGTTTGTACCAGGGATTGAACCCAAAGATGCATAACCACTGAGCCACATCCCTAGCTCTCTTTTATTTTTTATTTTGAGACAGGGTTTTGCTAAGTTACTGAGGCTGGCTTCGAACCTGTAATCCTCTTCCTGAGCCTCTTCGTGTACCACCATGCCCAGCATGAAAAGTTTTTTCAAAAAGTTAATGGAAGAGCTGAAAGAGAATGATTGAGGAACTCTCAAAGACATAACAAAGGAGAAATAAAAGTGAATGGATTTTTTAAAAAAGAATTAATTAATGAGGTCCAACTCTGACTATAAGAAAGACAAAAGACAGAAAAAGAGGAGAAAAATAATTTAAGAAATATCAGAACAAATTTTAGAACCGAAGAATTTTCTTATGAAGACTAAATGAGCCCCTAAGTGCTCAACAATATAAATGAAGAAACAAATGACTACACCAGGCTCATTACCACGATATTTTACAACATCTGAGATTTAAAGATCCTGAGTTGGGGGCAGGTGACAAAGAATCAGGAATAAAATTGACATTTAGGCTTTTTCAAAGCAATGTTGAAAACTAGAAGATATTTCCTTCAAATTTCTCCAAGAAAATTATTTCTAATTTAGAATTCTACGTCCTACCAATCAATTATGAGGGTAAACCAAGACATTTTCAGACAAGCAAGAACTGAATGCAAGGTTTTACTTCCCTCATCTTCTGTCTCAAGAAGCTTCTAAAGCCGTAAAGTTGAGAATAAATCAGGGAAAGATCAAGGAACAACRTAGAAAACAGAATACCTACCACAGAAGACAGGCAAAGAGAATTTTAGATGGTGATAAAGCTTGAGATGACAACTAGGCAGTGGGCCARGAACAACCAGTTCAGACTAGAATAGAGGAAGAAGGAGTAGTCAGGAAGAAAATCTCTAAGGGTTTTTTTAAAAAAAGGAATGGATAGATCACCTGATGTGGATGGGAACGGGAAGCCTTTAGCAGTTTCATCAAAGTGTAAAAATACATTCTTAGGGCTGGGGATGTGACTCAAGTGGTAGCGTGCTTGCCTGGCATGCGTGCGGCCCAGGTTCGATCCTCAGCACCACATACAAACAAAGATGTTGTGTCTGCCGAAAACTAAAAAAAAATAAATAAATATTAAAAGAATTCTCTCTCTCTCTCCACTCTCTCTTAAAAAAAAAATTCTTAAAGAAACAAGAAAATTTTTAAATGAGGCAATGATTAGCCCCAGGAAAAATAAGAGGTTGTTTAGTTGTAGCATACCAAGTGGTTCATTTGCGGACAAGATTTACATAGTCATAACATGGGATATTAGGAGTAAGGGGAGGCAAATTCGCATGGGAAGTGGGGTAGGAGACATGGAAGAAAAGGCAGCAATTAAAAAAAATAACTATAAGCCTTATGGAACTATGTGGGTTTTAAAATATAAATATATATATTTAAGATTAAATTTTTAAAAACATGGTAGATCCTTAACTATTTTTTTTTTAAAGAGAGAGTGAGAGAGAGGGGGACAGAGAGAGAGAGAGAATTTTTTAAATATTTATTTATTTATTTTTTCTTAGTTCTCAGCGGACACAACATCTTCATTTGTATGTGGTGCTGAGGATCGAACCCTGGGCCGCACGCACGCTAGGCGAGCGCGCTACCATTGAGCCACATCCCCCGCCCCGATATTTTTTATTTTGGGGGGACTGGGGATTGAACCCAGGGTATTTAACCACTAAGTTATATTCCCAGAACTTTTCCTTTTTATTTTAAGAAAGACTCTCTTGTTAAGTTGCTGAGAGTCTAAATTGCTGAGATTAGCTTTGAACTTGTGATCCTCCTGCCTCAGACTCCTGAATTGCTGGGATTACAGGCATGTACCATAGCACCCGGCTTAGATCCTAACATTCTAAAGCTATATACCCTGATATTTTTGTAAATCTCCAAATTCACAAATGCTATTATGGCATT